CCGGGGGGCCCCGTGGACCTCTTCCCGGGAGAGGCAGGAGGGGAGAAAACACACACACAAGGAGTCGTCGCGTCCCAGGAAACTATGGGGAAATATGGGAAGTGGGGGGAAGAAGACGAAACTCCAGAAGATATCGGAAAAGATGGGGAGAATCCCGGGAGTTCTGCCTCTTTCTTTGTGTGTCCCTGGGCCCCTTCAGAGAGGTGGCGGCGCGTGGCTTCTTATCGTGCGCTTGAAGACGGACTGGCTCTGCTGGGTCCCCCCTGCACGCTTTCGTCATACCCGCCCCGGCGCGTGCCGGCCCCAGCTAGTCACGCAGCCGCGCGGTGCCCCACTGTGCTCGGTTCGACTCACCACAGCTGCTCCTGACCCTGCTGCGGAGTCGGCTCCTCGGTTCCTCTCCGCTGCGCGCGCCCCCCTCCTCCTGCTCCCTGCCCGCTCCTCCCTCCCTCCTGCCCGCTTCCTGCCCGCTTCCTGCCCGCTTCCCGCCCACTTCCTGCCCGCCGCCCCCCCGCTTCCTGCCCGCTTCCTGTCCGCCCGCTTCCTGCCCCCTCCTCCCGCGTCCTGCCCCCTCCTCCCCCCCTCTGCCGCCGCCGCTGCGCTGCCTGCGTGCCCCGTGGGCCAACCGGAAGCCCCACCTGCGGTCCCAGTGGGGGCGTTAGCGTGCGAGCGACCCGCCCAGCCTGGCACAGTCCACCCATCCATCCTGCCCTTCCCTTCGCTTCGTCATCCCATGTCCCTTCTCCCTCCTCCCTCCCCCCTTTCTCTCCGCCCTATCCCTCTCTCCGCTTCCCCCATGACCTACCACAACCTCGTCGTCCTGCTCCTCCTGATCTCCTCCTCCGCTCTACGGCGCCAACATTCCTTCAGGCTCTGAACGCAGCGCCGTCGGGATTCTGCGTCTGCTCCACCTCCTCCGCTTCCCCCCTGTTCCTCGACCTGCTCCTCCTGCTCCTGTTCCCCCCTCCTGACTCTCTGCCTCCTCCTGCCTCTCACTCTCGCCTGCCCCCCCCTTGTGCTCCTCCTCCCTGGCGCCCCGGCCTGCCCCGGCGCCCCGGCCTGCGGGCCGCAGGACTCCGTCGAGATGCAGATGCAGTTCAGCCTCGTCTCGATCGATTTCTTCCTGAGCGCCGCGGCGGCCTCGGCGCTCAACGTGATGCTCGCGCCGGGCAGGGGGCACTCCGAGGAGCCCGCGATCGCGCGCGCGGGCGCGTGGCGCTCGCTCCGGCGGCGGCCCCAGGGCCTCCCTCTTCCTCCCTCCTCCCTCCTTGTCCTCCTCCCTCCTCCTCCTCCTCCCCTCCTCCTCCCTCCTCCTCCTCCTCCTCCTCCTCCTCCTCCTCTCCTCTCCTCGTCCTACTCCTCCTCTTCCTCCTCCTCCTTCTCCTCCTCCTCCATCTCCTCCCTCCTCCTCATCCTCCTCCTCCTCCTCGTCATCATCCCCCCCTCCTCCTCCTCGTCATCATCCCCTCCTCCTCCTCCTCCATCATCCTCCTCCTCCTCCTCCTCCTCCTCCTCCTCCTCCTCCTCCTCCTCCTCCTCCTCCTCCTCCTCCTCCTCCTCCATCTCCTCCATCTCCTCCTCCCTCCTCCTCATCATTCCTCCTCCTTCCTCCTCCTCCTCCTCCTCCTCCTCCTCCTCCTCCTCCCTCCTCCTCCTCTCCTCCTCCTCCTCCTCCTCCTCCTGCTCCTCCTCCTCCTCCTCCTTCTCCTCCTCCTCCCCTCCTCCTCCTCCTCCTTCCCTCCTCCTCCTCCTCCCCTCCTCCTCCTCCTCCTCCTCCTCCTCCTCCTCCTCCTCCTCCTCCTCCTTCCCCCTTCTCCTCTCCTCCTCCGCCCCTCCTCCTCCCTCCTCCTCCTCCTCCTCCTCCTCCTCCTCCTCCTCCTCCTCTTCCTCCTCCTCCTTCTCAAGCAATCTCGGAAGGATGCCAAAGCGCACGTGCGCGCGCACATGCGAGCTACGCTATGGCTGCGCCTATGTCTAATGTATTGCGGCCGTGCTCTATCCAGTCCAGCGCAATACGGTCCAGTCCAGTCGACGCCACCCCAACGGAGTTCAATCCAGTCCAAACTAATCCCGGCCATCCCAATCCAGCACAGCCCAGGCCAGGCCAGTCCAATCCAGCCCAGCTCGCCCAAATCCAATTCAGTTTGACTCCTGGCCACTCAAGTCCAGTTAAGGAGAGGGGAGTGAAGGCTTTCTCCGAAGGGCTTAGGCGACCCCTCCTCCTCCTCCTCCTCCTCCTCCTCCTCCTCCTCCTCCATCTCCTCCCCCCTCCTCCATCTCCTCCTCCCCCTCCATCTCCTCCACCTCCTCCTCCTTCCCTCCTCCTCCTCCTCCTCCTCCTCCCTCCTCCTCCTCCTCCCTCCTCCTCCTCCTCCTCCTCCTCCTCCTCCTCCTCCTCGGGTCGCCCACGGCCCCGGTGGAGAACGTGCAGAGGGGGAGGCGCGGCGCCCCGTGTCCGACCGCCGCGCGCCTCTGGCACATGTGGAGCGCCTGGCGCCGACCCCCCCCCCGGCGGGCTGCGCGGGCCCGTCGGGAGCGTCGCTGGGCAAGAAGAATGGAGGGGCCCTGGGACATCACCGCCCCCCAAACCACCCCAACCCAACCCGAAGGCCCCAATTTGCCCTCCATTTCCAGTTGGGGGGGGTCGGGGAACGTTGAGAAAACACACATGAAGCCCGTACCCCCCCAACCCGAAATTCGGGTCTTCGGGTTGGGTTGGGGTGGATTGGTAGGTAGTCAGGACACACAAATAAGTACACTCGAGTAAAAGGCTTCCCCATACGTTCCCACATGTTCTGGGGTTCTGTTTTCCCCCTCACTCTGCCCATCATTTTTCCCCATACGTTCTGGGGGATCGGCGATTCATTGTGTCTGTGTGCTTTTTCCCTCCTGAAAGAAGTGCCGATGTTGAGCTCAACTGCGCCAGCCCCGCTCCCTGGGCATGTCCTCGCCCGCCTACGGTGGGGGCGTTCGTTAACGAGCGTGCCCAGGAGGCTTCAGGCCCTGGAGGATGCCTTCTCTGATGAGGGCGGTGTTGATGTCCATAGCCAGCCCACGATTGGAGCTCCATTTGTTTCCAGACCCTGGATTCCTTGTCTAGCGGTTCTCGGTTCTCCATCCAATACCCTCACCGTAGTTGCCTGTCAGGTGCTGGACAGTTGCTGCATACGCTTTGCACTGTTGCCAGCAGTTCTACCAACCGAATCAATCAGGGCTCCAGAGACGGGGGTAGAGCAAACGGGGGCACGGGGAACGCCGATTTCCACGTTTGGCTATGCCCCCGTTTAGGGGGCCATGGGTGCCGTAGACGGGGGTACAGTAAACGGGGGTACACGGAAAAAGCCTAAGCCCCCGTTTAGCTAATCCCTTTACGAAGCCCCGAATCAAGCATTCCGACATGTTCGACCGATCCGACGGCAATTGTGTCACGCACGGGCGGCATCTATCCGGCAGCTGGCCGACAATCCAGAGGGCTGGCGGGGTTCAGAAACCTCGATCCTCGATCCTCAAACCTCCGATGTCCTGATTCATGTCCGGCGCGGGGCCCCACGGCCACGGTCCTCGACCCCCTTTCCCCCTGGGGCCGGTTTTTCATCCGGAGCCGTTTCCTCATGGCCCCGGAGCCCCGAGAACGGCCCGGGAGGCCGATCGATCGAAGGATTGAGGATTCGAAGATCGATCGATCGATCGAGGAGGATGAGGATTGAGGAGGAGGAGGAGGATCGAAGATCGATGGCCGATCGGTCGTGGATTGGATTGAGATCGAGCGTCGATCGATCGATCGAGGATCGGCCTCGGCCGATCGGCCGAGGATCGAGGATCGAACGAGGATCGAGGATCGAGCCTCGAGGTCCTCGATCCTTGGGTTTAGTCGGGCATGTCTCTTTACAGGAGGAAAATTCGAAAATAGCCAAAAATATGTACGGGGACGATTCTTGGAGTATGTTTTACTATTCGGGAGCATTTTGTTGCGTATTTTTTGTCTTTCGCCCAAAATCCGCCTGTAGGGGGACATGCCCGATGCTCGACCTATAGTCGTGGATTCGATTGATCGAGCATCGATCGATCGAGGAGCGACCTCGGCCGATCGGCCGAGGAGCGCATGCTCGGATCGATCCTCGAGGCTCGAGGAGCGATCCTCGGGGGCCCCGGGAGCACCCCGACCGCGCGCGCGCCAGGACGCGTCGGAGGGGCAGCTGCTCCTGGCCACGGAGGTGCGCAGGAGGACCCCTGCCTGCCCGGGCGCCCGGAGGAACGGCGGCGGGCGGCGGCTCGGTTAGTATCGCAGGCCTAGAGGTTGACACCAACACCAATTTCGGCGGTGTGCCTCCACCGAGGGAAGAAGATCCCGATCTCGGTGATGGTTGTAATATTCTGACTTCCAAGGTGGCCAAAATATGACCACCAACACCGAAATCTAGGATCATCTTCCCCTTGTGGAGGCAACCCCCTGTGTTGGTGTTGGTGCCCATTTCCAGGCCTCCAATAGTAGCGCCGACACGGCCCGAGGCGGGGGCAGGGGCCCACCTCCCCCCCGAGGCGAAAACAAAACAAAAAATCGGAGAGTTTTCGGCTGGTGGTGATGGCGATGGCGATGACGACGACGAACAAACATCGAAGGGCAGTTTCAGGGAGTTTTCGGCTGGTGATGATGGCGATGACGATGACGACGACGAAAAAACCTCGAAGGGCAGTGTTTGAAGGGTTTCGGCCTGCGGCGGCCCTCGCCGGGCCTCGGGACCTTCAAGAAACGGCCCGTGATGCAGAACCGGGCCCCGGGGAGAGGGGTCCAGACCTCTGGGGGTCGACGTCATGAAGAAACGCCACGCTGGATTTTTGTTGGTTCCTCGGGGGGGAAGGCCCCTCAGGACCCCCAGAGGCCCCCAGGAACCTTCCATGACCTCCAAGATCGGCAAGAAGTATCCCTCGACCCGCCTCTCCTCGGAAGGAGCTGGGGGCCCCCCTTGTGTTGACTCCCTTTGCGAGGCGCGGGTTTATCCATAACCGCCGCCTGGTGCAAGGGTGGACCTAAACGGTGTTTGGGCGATTTCGTGGGCCGTTTTCGTTTCGATTTCGTTTTGCGTGAAAGGCGGATTGGAGACAAAACGAGGGAAAACGAAAACAATACGAAAACGAAAAACATCGTTTAGGTTCAGCCCTGGCCTGGTGGATAGATCTTCGGGGGGCTCGGCGTGGAGGATGTGGATACCGTAGCACCCCGCAGTTGCGGATAAGAGTGAAGGGGGCAGCGGAGACGTCGCGAGTCGGCGAGGCTCTGAAGAAGTCCGCCGCATGTGCCCACTTGTGACACATTATACAAAAAGATCCCGCCGCAGGCGCCGATTCTTCCGATGAAGCAATGTGGGTGGGTCGCGGGCCGGGTCGCGGATCCGTCGCGGGTGGGTCGCGGGTGGGTAGCGGGTGGGTCGCGGGTGGGTCGCGGGGGGTTCGCGGGGTGGGTCGCGGGTGGTGGGTCGCGGGTGGGTCGCGGGGTGGGTCGTGGATGGGGCATTGGTGGGTCGCGGGTGGGTCGCGAGTGGGTCCCGGGTGGGTCACGGGACGGGGTTCGACATGGGCGCGAATCCACGAGGAATTTGCGGGAGTAGCGTCTGGGCGACGTTTGGCCTCTTGACTTCAGAGGCTCTGCGCGGGCTCAACATGGGCACGAAATCGCCGAAGACGACGCGGGGACCATTTTGCGCCACTGGCATGAGAGTTGCAACATGGGCGCAACATGGGCACGGAACCGTCGAGGACAATGCGGGGCGCTATTGGCGCGGGATCCATGTTGAGCCTCTGATTTGAGAGCTTGAGAGGCTCAGCGTGGGCTCAACATGGGCAGAGAATTCTCGAAGACTGCGCAGGAGTTACGTTAGGCCTTTCACCGGAGGGTCTCATCATGGGCTCAGCATGGCACGAAATCTTCGCATTATGCGGGAGGCATGTGGAGCCTCTGGCCTGAGGATACCAAGGCGGGCTCAGCTTTGGCGCGAGATCCTCGAGGACGTTGCGGAAGACCTCACCGCGATGGTCTCAATGTGGCCCCCATGTGGGCACCGAGTCCTCGAGGGGTTTGCAGGAGTCACGTTGGGCCACTGCAGTGAGGGTCTCAACGTGGCCCCCACGCTGGCAAGGAGTCGTCGGGCTTTTGGTTGGACACCCCTGGGGCGGTGTGCCGCCCCGTGGCCTGGGGTCCTCAGCCTGGTCCCAACGGGGGCACGGCATCCTCGAAGGTGGTGCGGAAGTCACGCCTGGGCGACGTTGAGCCCCAGACGTGGGGGTCTCAGCACGAACTGAACGTGGGCATGGACCCCATCGAGGACTGTGCGGAAGTCGCGCCCGGGCGATGTTGAGCCCCTGGCTTGAGGGTCTCAGCGTGGTCTCAACATCGGCAAGGGGTCCTCGATGAGTTTGCGACAGTCATGGTGACGCCGCCATTCGGAAGGCTTCGACGTGGTCTCAACACATGGGCGCGACATCCTCGATGATGATGCGTCCGTCATGTTCAGGCAGTGAGTCTGACGGCCTCGCCGTGGCGTCGACGGGGCCGAGAGCTCATCGAGGACTGCGCGAGGGTCATCGGGTCGACGTCGACGTCCTCGCGGTTGGACCGCGCGCGTCGACGAGGCAGCGGCGATTTGGGCCTTCAAACTTTTACCTGGAGCGGAGGAGGAGGAGGAGGAGGAGGAGGAGGAGGAGGAGGAGGAAGAGGAGGAGCAGGAGGAGGAGGAGGAGAGGGAGGAGGAGGAGGAGGAGGAGGAGGAGGAGGAGGAGAGGAGGAGGGGAGAGGAGGAGGAGGAGGAGGAGGAGCAGGAGGAGGAGAGGAGGAGGAGGGAGGAGGAGGAGGAGGAGGAGGAGGAGAGGGAGGAGTCAACGGCTGCAAGGACTCCACGCTGGAGAAGTCGTGCTGGACGCGCGAGGCCACAGGGCAGACGCGCGAGGCCACGGCATCCAACGCGCAAGCCCAGAGCCCCGACGTGCAAGGCCACGACATCCATCGCGCCAGGCCAGAACCCCGACGCGCGATGCCGACACCCCGACGCGCAAGGCAAGCCAAACATCCCCACGAGGAGGAACGAAACAACAACATGTTTGCATGTGGAGCTGCTGCGTTGTTGCCCTGCGCGTTGCGGCCGCCTTGAGGGAATAGTGGGCCACCTCGATGGCATCTGAAGGCCATGTTGGGTCCGCCGAGTTGTCTTGGTGCCGCCTGGAGGCCAAATGAGGCGTCACACATCACCCCCATGCGGATGTGTGTTTTTCAGGGGCGCATGCGGTTCAGGAGTGGGACCGGTCCCAGATCGCACTAAAGAGACCTTACCAGACAGCCTAGGAGCATTGTAACACGCCCCCGCGTACACAAGGCACGTTGGCTGCCGATCGGTCTCACTATGTATCCGCCTATGGACACCCATTGGGCACCCGCGGGGCTACCACGGGCAAGCCGCGGGACAACCACGGGACAACCACAGTACAACCACAGGGATAACCACGGGACAACCGCGGGGCAGCCGCGGGATCACCACGGGACAACCACGTGACAATCGGGGATTCACCGTCCGCCGTCGGGGAACAACACATGATGGCACCCGCCCCCATCAAGGCAGGGATCTCGTCCGCCCTAGCGCGGACGCGCTCCGGTGGCGCACGCGTCACGCACGACACGCAGCGAAACGTACACCCATCTCCTGGTCGGGTGGCGATGGGCCGATTTTGAGCAGATGTGCGCCAGGCGGAAAAGCCGCCGTTGTTTCAATTGGTTCTCCGATTCAAGCGGGTCGTTCCAAAAGGGGCCCCTCCTTCGAGGCATCGAGAGGCTGACGTCTCTTCCTCGGCAGAAGCGGCGGAAGCCACTGGAAGGAGAGAGCGGCAACGGGTCCGCCGGTTGGAGTCGGCGGAAAGTCGGCAGAAGACGGCGGGCATCAAAAGTGAGACGTCGACATGTTTGGATCAAGGGTTTTCAGAATCGGCCAGGTGAATCCAGGCATTGATTGCCTTGAGCCCTTTTTGTTCTGAGCTTCTGGAAGCTTGACCATTATTCGGAGTTCTCATCCTCTTGGTGGTTCATCCTCACAATGCTGACCCCTCTGCTGATCCTCCTCCCAATTAGTGCTCCTTGTCTATTACTGCTGCTTTCTCTCGCTTCCTTCCGAGGCCTCGTCCCTCCTGCCTTCTTCATCGCCCTTGCTTTCCTCCCATCCTCCCTGTCGCCTTTCTCCTCCACATCATCATCCTGCTTTCTCTGCCTCCCACCTCTCTCGTCTCGTCCAGCCTCCCCGCACGTCTCCTGGAGAGGAGTTTCCAGATGACGGCGGCCTCCGTCTTCGCGTTCGCGCTCGTCGTGGCAGCCCGCGGGGGCTGAAATGGGGGCCGTGGCAGTTGCAATTCCTCGCCCGGGCACGCACCTTCTGCTCCCCCCCCTCCCCCTTCCACACTCCTCCTTCTCCCCCTCCTCGACATCCTCCTCCTCCTGCTTTTCCTCCCCCTCCCCCCAAGGCGAGGAGGAGGGAAGTTCATATTGTTGAGGAGGTTCGGTTTGGTCGTCCTCGACGGCGTGAGTCAAGCTCACAACTGTCGGGCGGGTGCCGCCTCCCATGGGAGCAGCAGTCGAAATTGGCCCACCAAGGGCCCACGAGCGAGGGCTTCATGAGGCCCCGCCGGTCAGTTTCAAAAGCACAAAGGCGTGGTCAAGCTCAGACCCGATTGTGCTGACTGATCAGCCGTCCTCCCTGCGCCTCCCACGCAACTTCTCGAGCACGGCCGAGTGGTCGCACACCGCGTCCCCGACCACACAGGCGGGCGCGGGCGCGTCGGGGGCGGGGGGGGAGGCTACGGAAAGGGATCGGAAGCAAGGGCAGACAGGAACGTACGCGAGAGATCCCAGCACCACGTAGTGTGACTAGCATGCCCGCCCGTCAATATGGTAGAAATCACAAGCGCGGAGAGCTTGGCACGGCTTAAACTGCACACCATCTGCTTTCAGCGTGTATCAGCTACCAGCCAATTGCAACGAGCGTCAGGCCCAGTAGGGCCGAGGAATTTGAAAAACAAAGCTGGGCGCTCGGTCAACACATGAGTATAGAGACATCCAAGATATGTGTGTATGTACGGATGTATGTATGGATGGATATATGCATATATGTATGCATGTATGCATGTGTATACATAATGTATACAAGACTGCATTGGCGCTTCGCGCCATGCAACTTGGTTCTTGAAGCTTGGCATGCAGGCGGAATTGCAGGAAGGTCGAACGGAGAATTGAGCGATAACTCCTTGTTGTCTTTTCTGGCATCGCCGTTCTAATAATGGTATTGGTTGTCCGTCTTCCATGATTATCCTCATTCTCGGCCGACCCTGCGAATTCTTCCCCATCCTGCTCAGCCCTTTTTGCGGAGGCTCCTCCTTGGAGAGCCTCTGGGGGCCTCACGGAAGTTGTTCAGGCTTTCTTCTGGCCTTCTGGAGGCCTCCTGGGCGTCTTCTGGGGGCCTTTGGGGGCTTCCTCGGGCCACCCTGCCTCCAACCGCGGTCTCCCTGAACGACCAGGTCACGACTTGGAATGCATCGGAGGGTGTCTTGGGGCCGTCATGGGGCTCTCTTAGGCCATCTTGGAACCCTGTTGCGCCGTCATGAGGCTCTCTTGGACTGCCTGGAAGCGCTTTCGGATGGTTTTGGAGCGATCGATTTTCGAGCCTCCGAGGCGGTCTCGGACGCCCAGAAGACCGAAGAACAGGGTATCCCCAAATAATATATTATATATATATAATTATATATATATATATATATAATATATATATATAAAACATTGGAAAATCCATGTGTTTCTGCGTTTGGGAAGCCTCCTGGAGGGCTTCTTTGGGTCGTCTTCGGGCGTCTGGTGGGTATCTAGGGCCTCTCAGGGGCCCTCGGGGGGGCGCTCGGCCGCCCTCATGACCGATTTGGGCCCGTTGCCTGGGCCCAGCGAGGGCTTCCCGGGAGCTCTGAAGCACATGGGCGGCCTTCGGCAGGGGCGTCCAGGGGGTCCCCGTGGCCACGCATCTGGGGGGTCCTGAGGGTCCCGGGGCCCGGGATTCGGGGGGTCCGATTTCGAGGGGGGGGGCCCAGACCCCCGACGTCGTGATTTTTTCACAACGTCGACCCCCAGCGGTCTGGACCCCTTCCCCGGGACCGGTTCTTCGTCCTGAGTCGTTTTTTGACGCTCCCGAGGCCCGGTACGGGCCCCCGGAGGCCGAAAATCGCGAAAAACCTCCCGTCGTGATTTTTTCACGACGCGAGGAGGTCTGGGGGGTCCAGGGTAATATAAAAATGCAAATGGGAATATCCCCGGGCACGAGGCCCGGGCGCCCAGGGCCGGCCCCGGATCGCCAGGAGTGGCGCTTCCAGGCGGCGAAAACGACCAACGACGGCCCGAGATCACCCCGTCCAAGAGACCTCCGAGAGGCCCCAGGAGGCCTCCAAGAGGCCTCCCTCCCAAGGAGCCCCAGGAGGCACAACTCATAGATTGTCCAGAACAGTTTTTGCAGGATTTTCGAGTTCTCCCTTTTCAGTTTCCAGACGCTCCGCGACGGCCCAGGAGGCCCTAATGTCCGCTCCAGGACAGCTCCAAAGGCCTCGAAGACGGCCCCAAGACGGCCCAAGAAGGCCCCAAGACGGCATCAGAGGCGCCCAAGACGGCCCGAGAGAGCCCCAAGACGGCCCCAAGAGGGGGCCAAGAGGGGTAACACGAACCGGAAATCCGAGCCTTCCACCCCGAGAGGCTCTCAGGAGGCCCCAAGAGGCCCCCAACAGGCCCCAAGATACCCCCAAGAAGCTCCTCAGAGGGCCCAAGAGGCTCCAAGAGGCCCCCCACGAGGGCCCCAAGAAACACAAATCATTGTTTTCCAGCAGGTTTTGGACGGATTTTCGAATTATCAGCCTTTTGGCATCCCGGCGCTCCACGGCGTCCCAAGAGGCCTCCAAGACCGCTCTAAGATAGCCGAAGAGAAGAGGCCTCCAAGAGGGTTCCAAGACGGCCCATGAGGGCCCCAAGACGGCTGCCAAGGCGCTCCCGGGAGGAGGACAGATCGCTCCCACATGCCGCGAACCATTCTCGGTATGCGCGCAACAACCCCAAGACGCTCCAAGACAACTTCCTGACGGCCTGAAACGCCCCCAAGACGCTCGAACAGGGTTTCAAGAGGCCCCCCGAGAGTGCCCTAAGGGGCACACATCATCGATGTTCGTTGGACTGTTTCGACTTGTTTTGCGGTTCTCGCCTGACCCAAAAGGGCCCGAGAGGCGCCCAAGACGCGAGACTTACGGCGCAGACTGATCGACATGTTCTGGGCTCCGGAGCAATACGTGGCGGTCATGTTGGCCAAGACGAAACACTTGAAGTCGCTAGCTGAGCTGCCAAACAGTTTTGGGGGAGGCCCATGGCAGGGCGGGGGCCAGGGCCAGGGTGAACCACCAATTGATAGCGACACAGTGGGCTGCATCGGTTGCCTGGGCCGCAGCGCCGAGTCAACAAAGGCACCATCACAACAACAGCATCCACCGTTGTGCCCTGATTCGTCCACCCTCCCATCCACACCCCGCATCGCCTTCCCTGCCTCCCTCCCTGCCTCCCTCCCTCCCTGCCTCCTTCCCCCCCCCTCTCTGCTGCTCGGGGGCGCGCCGTGCGGGACACAGAACGAGTCGGGATATCGGCCCGTGGGGGCCTGGCCGAAGCAGCCAATGAGGGCGTGGCCGGAAGGGCCACTGCTGCGGGAGGTTCGCCGCCGCAGCAGAACGGGACGCAGGGCAAACCTACAGTCATTCATCAGTTCATGTGCTGCTAACTCAGCAACGCTGCACGATGTGTTAACATCGGAAGATTCGCCGCGCCGTTTGATGCACGCAGCCACATGGCGACGCACATGGTTTCAGAGGAGAGTCCCCGAGCACCCAAAATATATACGGTTGACACGTCGGAAATAAAAGCCATACCTGTTTATGTTTGTGTGGATGTGGTAACGCCGGCAAACCATACCCGTCGAGGTGCGATTTGAATGGTCAACTTACACGGCGCACACGAATTTACTATAAGCACTGGTTTGCGCAACCGTAACTTCATCTATGAGTGTGAGCGTGATTTGGATCACGCCGCGCGTAGTGAATGCTAATGTGTACCGGTAGTGTGCTCTCGTTGATGCTCCGTCGCTACTAAACATTATGGTTGGCGTTGTGCTCGGGCGCTTGCTTCAGGACTCTTGTCATCACTCGGGGCCGCGATGCATGTCCCTCGGGAGGTGGTGCCGCCCGACGCCCGAGCGCCAAAGCATAAACCCCGCGAGTCCTTCAAAGTGGGGTGACAAGTCCTTCGAGCGTTTGATGGGGGGGCGGGAGAGAAAAAGGAGGGCGGGACGGCGGGGAGGGGCATGGCGGGCGTACGCCCGCCTTTCCTCTCCCCGCGCTGCCCGCAGTGCACGGGAGGCGCTGATACCTTTCCTGGTCCTGCTGGAGACCGTGGAGGCCCGCAGGTGCTTCTGGGGTGGCGGGGATGGCGACGAGGAGGTCGAAAAAGAAAAGTCGACATAAGACAGGCCACCCACGGGGGCATCAAGATAAGCCAGATCTCCGGCGGTTTGATTCCCAACCCGCTTGTGTGTTGGGTCCTCGTTTTGAATTCGCAACGCCTCGCATCTCCTTCCCTCATCTTCCCTCGTCGTCCCCCATCTCTCCTCTTCCACCACCACCACAACCACCATCATCATCATCATCATCATCATCATCATCATCATCATCATCATCATCATCATCATCATCATCATCATCATCATCATCCTTATTATCATCATCATCATCATCAGCATCATCATCATAATCAGTATCAGCATCAGCATCAGCATCAGCATCAGCATCATCATAACCATCATCATCATCACCAGCATCATCATCATCCTCATTATCATAAACATCATCAGACACATAATCATCATCATCATCATCACCACCATCACCATCACCATTATCACCATAACCGCAATCATCATCATCATCATCATCATCATCATCATCATCATCATCATCATCATCATCACCAGAATCAGCCCCATCATCATCATCATCACCATCGCAATCATCATCATCGTCATCAGCATCATCATCGTCATCATCACCAGCAGCATCACCATCATCATCGTCATCATCATCAGAATCATTATCATCATGATCAGCATCATCATCAGCAGCAGCATAGTCATCATCATCATCATCATCATCGTCATCATCATCATCCTTATCATCATCATCATCGCCATCATCATCATCATCATCATCATCATCATCATCATCATCATCATCATTCTCATCCTCATCATCATCATCATCATCATCATCACCATTACCATCACCATCAGCATCATCATCATCATCATCATCATCATCATCATCATCATCATCATCATCATCATCATCATCATCATCATCATCATCATGTTAAGTGCGTCGAACCCTTCACACGTTCCGTGGCCCCATGGGGAGCTCCACCGAAGGCTTCAATGGCATGGTCAGCATGATTACCCGCCCCATGTCGGCGTACCCCTCACACGCTTCGTGGCCCCATGGGCAGCTCCTCCAAGGCTTTAATGGCAGGGTCAGCATGATTACCCGCCCCATTTTGGCCCACCTCTCACACGCTTCGTGGACCCACAGGGAGCTCCGCCGAAGGCCCCAGTGGCAGCGTCCACATGGTTACCCGCCCCATGTCGGCGCACCCCTCACACGCTTCGTGGCCCCATAGGGAGCTCCGCCGGACGCCTCAATGGCATGGTCCGCATGGTTACCCGCCCCATGTCGGCCCACCCCTCACACGCTTCGTGGCCTCCCAGTGGGCTCCAACGAAGGCTCCAGTGGCAGGGTCTGCATGATTGCCCGCCACATGTCGGCCCACCCCTTACACGTTTCGTGGCCTCCCAGTGGGCTCCAACGAAGGCTCCAATGGCATGGTCCGCATAATTATCCGCCCCATGTAGGCGCACCCCACGCACGCTTCGTGGCCCTATGGAGCTCCGCGAACGCCTCAATTGCATGGTCCCGCCCCATGTCGGCGCACCCCTCACACGCTTCGTGGCTCCATGGGGAGTTCCACCGAAAGCCTCAATGGCATGGTCCGCATTGTTACCCGCTCCATGTTGGCGCACCTCTCACACGCTTCGTGGCCCAATACGGAACTCCATCGAAGGTCCCAGTGGCGGGGTCCGCATGGTCACCCGCCCCATTTCGGCGCACCCCTCGCACGTTTCCGTGGACCCATGGAGAGCTCCACCGAAGGCCGCAGTGGCAGGGTCCGCATGGTTACCCGCCTAATTACGGCGCGCCCATCGTGGCCTCATATGGAGCTCCTCCGAAGGCCCCTGTCGCAGGGTTCGCATTACGTTTCGAGTGATCTCTGGGACCTGAGTCGCGGAAGTGCCTGCCGAGCATGGCTCGGCGTTCTTTGGCGAAGCTTTCAATGGTACAGCAGAGCCCGTATTGAGCTGTCCTGCTGCTGGTTGCCACGCGTTTGGAAAAGGATAGAAAAGGATCGGGTCCTTCGCCATGGCTTTTTTTTCGGCCAGCGTCCATGTTCCTCCAATCTGGCCCCCGGATGCCATTATCGGGCCTCGGGACCATCAAAGCTGATCTGGGACGGAAGAACTACCCCAGGGGAAGCAGTCGGGACCGTTGGGCCCGCGGATTGAACAAATCAGATTGGCGGATGTCTGGGAATCGTGCTTCGCGCATCGCGGTCTCGGCCAGAGCGGTGGCCTTTTTATCCTTGTGGGGGCGGTGCGGGAGCGCGGGAGCGCGAGGATGATCGCGCCTCGCGCCCCGCGATACGGTCCGCTCGGAGGTCCACGCGGACCGCGCGTGTTCCCTGGATCTGCGCTGGAGCCTCCTTGCCGCGTCTCCAGCGCCGCCCCTGGCGCGCTCCGCGCGCCAGGGATGGTGGTCCAGCGCCGATCCGAGACATTCTCGCGGACCTCCGAAAGTTTGCGTTTGTGCCGGCGTTTCTTCTTCAGGGAAGGGTGACACTTGGAAATCCCAAAACTCTGCGGAGACCACACCGTTGGGTGAGGCTGTGGCAGCGTGGGGTGGCCGCCATGGTTTTGGGACTGGGGTCGTTCTCCAAGGACGTCTCGGGCTACAGGGGTCTCCAAGGTCTCCGAGCCGTGCGGTGACGGACTGTGAGGTGAGGTCTTTGGGAATTTCGAGGTCACCGCATGATCTGACACCGGACCGTTTTGTGACCTCCACGAACCGGAGGAGGAGGAGGTGGAGGAGGAGGAGGAGCAGGAGCAGGAGGAGGAGGAGGAGGAGGAGGAGGAGGAGGAGGTCAGGACCCCCGAAGACCAGGACACTGCAGGCCTGGCCGTGTCTACCCCTGGCGGCTTTTTTTCCTTGGTTTTCCTTGGGTGCTGGCTGGAGCGCCTGCCACGAAGCAGACGGGCCCTGCGTTTTTTTTGGTCGTTTTTGGCCTCCCTGGGCCCTCCATGGGCCCAGCGATTCATTTGAAAACGTTTCCAGACGAAAAGCTAGCCCTGACGGGAGATCCCGTGGTCGAGGACCTCCCTCCTCCTTCCTCTCCCTCCTCCTCCCTCCTCCCTCCTCCCTCCTCCCACCTTCCTCCTCCCCCTCCTCCTCCTCCTCCTCCTCCTCCTCCCTTCCTCCTCCTCCGCCTCCTCCTCCTCCTCCTCCTCCTCCTCCTCCTCCTCCTCCTCTTCCTCCTCCTCCTCCTCCTCCCACTCCCCCTCTTCCTCCTCCTCCTCCTCCTCCTCCTCCTCCTCCTCCTCCTCCTCGCCTCCTCCCTCCTCCCTCCCTCCTCCCTCCTCCCTCCATTCTCCTCCCTCCTCCCTCCTCCCTCCTCCCTCCTCCCTCCGTAGCCATTTTGGCTCAAGATGCTCTGTTCCACAGGGGAACACGTGGATACCGCTAGTCCGCGGCCAGTGCCAGGTCGTTTCTGCCCGACAGTTTTGCTTCCGTCTCTCCTGGCCCTGTGGTTGGCCTCGATGCTCTCCCGAGCAGGCGAGGGACCATGGCGCCCGGGGGCCGCGGCGGTGGCGGCGAGGCCAAGCCCGACTGGTACTGCCGTTTCTGCAAGTACGAGCGTGGGCCCAAGATCGGGATGCCATGCATCACGTTCGGCTCCAAGCAGCTCTGCCACTTTTGCGGCGGCGCCAAGGACCGCACCTTCCTGGGCCATGTCCGCGGGGAAGAGGGGCTGCGCCGTGGCCACAGTGGCACCACGGGTGCTGGTGGTGGCGCAGGCGCCGCTGGGCAACACCTCGCCATGCAGAGGGAGCTCACCAGGCTGCGAGAGGAGCTCAAGACCCTGCGGGCGGAGGGCAAGAAGGGCCCCGTGGCGGAGGCGCCCAGCGGCGCTGAAGCTGAGGAGGGCGCTGAGGGAGGTGATGAGCAGCGCAAAATCGAACATCTTGACGGCCAGCTACGTGTGCTGCGAGGCCTCTCCGACCCAGGGAAAGACATTCTTGACACGATCGAGCGGATTGCGGCCCAGCGGCAGGTCTTGGCAGAGCAGGTGCGTGCCAAGAAGCCCGTTGTGGCGCAGCTGCTCGCTCTCCAGAAGAAGCTTAAGTCCAAGCAGGACGCCATCAGCAGGCAGGACGCGGCGGTGGCCAAGGCGCAGGAGGCGTTCACCGCGGCGCAGGCTGCGCCGGAGGCCGAGCGCGAGAAGGGCACGAAGCTGCGCGCTGACGCTGCTGAGCTGGAGGAGCAGGTGCGGGCGCTCAGCGCCCAGGTGCCCAAGCCTCCCGACGCGAAGGAGTCCGTGGGGCCCCCAGGTGGGGCGCCGAACCTCGATGGCTTGGCCGACCTGCTCAAGGAGCTGGGGGCGTCGGGCGAGGTCACCGAGAAGTTCTTGGCCCACCCCAAGATCGCGGCGTCTTTCGGCCCTAGGGCTGCGACGCGCGTGCGGCCTGCTGGTGATTGGGATCCTGGTGGCGTGGCGGCGACGCCGCCCGACGCCAAGAGGCTGCGCACGGCGGTTGACAAGGCGCCCCTCGAGCAGCTGCGTGACAGCATCGCGGCCGCTGGAGTCCAGGTCCCCACCGAGGAGGCGGAGATCAGGGCCAAGGCGCATCAGATCGCCGCAGCTGCCAGTGCGTGGGCCTACCGTGCCTACTAGGCGTCAGAGGCCGAGGCGTTGGTTGTTCTGGAGTACCATGCTCAGTATGATGATGGGAGTTTCTGGTAATACAAAGTACGGTGGCAGTGCGGACACTGTCAAAGATGCGTTGAACACGGTCAATGTTTCATGTGCGAGAGGGCTGACCGAGTACCTCGCGGAGGACCCGAAGGGTGACATCTTCGGCGTGCAGGAGCATCGCGTCTTGGGTGACAAGTTGTGCTCCCTGCAAGGCCAGGTGAAGGACTTGGGTTTCGATGGTCTGTGGGCCCCAGGCGTGGCCACAGGCGGTGGCCCGCTGGACGTCTCGAGCGGCGTCGCGCTCCTCACGCGCAACGTCATCCCTGTGACGGC